TGCCTTACTAGTAGTAACAAGTGCCTTACTAGTAGTAACAAGTGCCTCGCTAGTAACAAGAGACGATCGATGCGAGCCCGCTGTAGGATGAGCCCGTTGCAAAGCCGAGCTCCAACGGCCGAAGCTGTCGCCACGGCTCCCGTGGGAGCCCCGGAAGCCGTGGATGAAGCGTCGTTCTGTTCGTTCGGATGCATCGGATGTTGGAAGACTCTCAGGACGGTCCCAGACTTCAAACGCATCCTGATGTACCAGCCTCGGGAGATGTCATATTGACCAAGCACTGATGCACATTCTCAGGGCACACATTTCATGGCATCTGCAGCTGTTTTTAGGATCAAATTCTGCTGAGTCGGATCACTTTTGTTGTCAAATCACTATGGGGGTGGCAAGGCAGCAAGAGAATGCGTTCCTCATTTGGAGATAGGGACGACCTGCCTGAGAGGACCTGCATGCAACGTTTTCACTACTTTGATGGTCAAAAGTGTTGATTTCGGTGCTTGGAAGAGCATCGCTTTTGGAGCTTGAGGCCTCACATGGTGTGGAGTTGATGGCGGAGCAGCAGTCAACTCAACCCGGAATGCAAAGCTCCTTGGTTCATTCTGGCCAATTGGTCGTTGCATTTGTCGCTTCAGAAGCACAGCTTCCACCCACACTGAGGCATCATTTCAGGTCCATTGGATGCTTTGGATCCACCAATCTCCAGAAAGGAAGCTTTTGATGAGACGATGGCCATGCTGAGGCGCATGTTTTTTTTGTTCCATTGTTTTTGTTGTTTTGATGTTCGCCCAATGTTTTGGGGGGGCTGAGCATCCTTTTTCTCATCAACTTCTGAGTTAAGCAGGGATATATGGCCGGGTACAGTTTTGATCCACAGCTATCTTACTCCGATGCTTGTCACTTGTCATGTGTGCTTCTTGTCAAAGTGACTGCGCATGTTCTTCCTGTGCTGATACAGATACCTGGCTGTGCACTGTCCCAGGTATCCGTTGGATCCAATCTCAGAAGGCCTCTTGAAGGAACTCGTTTTGAAGGATCTTGATGAGAACACCTTTCTGTTGAAGGTGATTCTTGATGGAAAGAAGCTGGATAGTGTTGGATATGGTAAGGGCGATGGCACGGATCGAGTTCGCTATTGGAAGAAAGTCACGGTGAACCCCGCGGCGATGTCCATTTCTGTCGTCGACTATGTCAATGACGGCGAAATGGGAGCATGGATCACCGATGCCAAGGAAGAGGTGGTGTCAACTTGTTCGGTGAACTTTTTGGAGGACCCTGTCCAGATTGAGTTCTGCCTTGACAAGGATGGTGAAAGACTTGCATCACCAGAACACAGAGATGGCATGTATCCTTGGACGGATGCGATCGTGGCAAACATCATGAGCTTCAAGAATGCCAAGGTGAAAGTGCGGCCCGATGCTCCATCGATTAAAGAGAAAGGTCTCAAGAGTTTAGTCTCCGAGCCCATGGACGAGCACGTGAGCTACGAGAGCTTCTTTGCCCAGCTGGTCACTTCTTCCAGAGAGGCCCTGTCATCGGTCCGGGCCTCGTGAAACGCGGTCCGTTCAAACGAGTCGGCAGGCGGGTCGACCGGCCCGCTGAGGTGCCCGGCAATGTCATGGAGGAGTCGGCAGGCGAGATGCGCTTCACCAACACATCAGAAGGAGGGGAGGCCATGGTAGAGGGTGGACATGTCGTCCTTTGAAAGGAACAACGCCATTTGTTCAACGAGACGCTAACAGAGCAAACATCAGCAAACATCATGCTTTTTCATATTTTCAAGAGGTCTTATGGCCCTTATGGCCTACTCGTCTCCTTGCTTGATACTCAGGTGAGTACCAATGTGGTGAAGTTCAATGAGTCCACGGGAGAGTTTGTGGTGACCTTCTCCTCTCAGGGTAAGGCAAGTCCACTGGGTTCATTTGGTGTTCGTCTCTCATTTCCTTCAGAATGAGGGGATTCTTGTTTTTTTGATGTTTTTTATACGACTCATCGCGTGAGTGGGTGAGCCTTTTCTCCAACCTCGTCCTCCCAGGTGCGTTCGGAATTGCATCGCGTCGTCCACCGCTCTCCGCTGGTCATGGAGGGCTGGGACATCGATGCGGACGGCAACCGGCTCTCTGGCATGGCCAAAGCCAAGGAGGTTCAAAAGAACATCAACAACATGATTGACAAGGCACTGAGATCATGAAGAGGTATCCATGAGTATCCATTTCTTTTGGAAAGGGAATTCATTTTGGGATATCCAGAGTATGTGCTTACCAGAGTTTTGGAACGCAAGCTGGACAGTTTCCGAAGCCTGAAACCCATTCTTGTCTGAAATGCAGGCCAACAGCTGGTTCTGATCTGACCTGAGCATCAAGAACATGCTGCATTTTTCGAAGCTTTATCACGAAGCCAGCACCCATGTTATATGACTTCCATACTTGCATAGGATTTGTTCATATTTGTTCCATGTGCTGCAACTTTCCTTTATTTCCCACATGCAGACAATCCCCTTACTTTATCATACTCTTCTTCAAACTATACTTGCTGAGTAGGTTGCACATAGCTACAAAGCTGAAGTTAGATTGATGGCGCCATGCTGACCGCTGTCAACGTAGTTAATGTTGAGCTGGCGGATGTTTCGTCAGCTATAATTTCCTACCAAAGGCACCCGTGATGTGTACAGCCGCGCCGAAAAAAACAGGGAGCCTTGTAGCGCTGCAACGCTGCTGAAACACATTGAACATGTACTTACTTTTTGATTTAATCTTTATATAGACGTTTTTTTCTAAATCCTTATCAGATTATAAATTTTCTTTTAATCTAATGAGATTTGTTTGGTTTCTTTTTGCTTTATATAGACATGTTTTTTGTTTATTATTTTGAACATGTGGTGGACACTACATCTGGCGCACACGCATGCTGATGTGTAGAAGTGTCCCAGGCTTCAGCTGCTGGGGTGCCCTTTTTTTCTCAATAGCCTGCCAACCTATACCAGAGAGGAGGGAATCATTGGGACCTTGGAGCTCCAACATGACCTGGAGTCTCTAGAGTTTCGAGTTTGCAGGAGAAAATCAAAGCCTTGACATATGCAGCTGCAGCGCCACAGGCGGCCAAGAAGGCACGGCTGGACCGAGACGCGTCGTGCCTGCGACGTACAGAAGTCGTTCTCCTTGTGTGATTTCAGTTGAACCGCCAGTCTTTACATCGAACCCTGGCGGCGCTGCCAAGGCCTGCTCAGTCCTTGCCGAAAAGTCCCATCCACTCGTCTGACTGCCCGAGGCCCAGCGCACGACGAGCAGTTGATGCCATGGAGCAATGAAGATGCGGTCCGCAGCTGTGCCGGCTGCGTTGATTCCTCATGTTTCACGTCGAATGAGCGGAATGAGCGACACTCAGATGCTGCCCTTGAACCAGAGGGCGGAGTTGAGAAGTGGGAAAAAAAAACGTATTATGGCCCTTGGTGATGAGACATGGCCTTGGTGGTCTTTGTGGGGCATTCCATTGGCTGTGTTCTTTTTGCATACCTCCGATGCGTTTGAAGCCAAACTCGCACATGTTGGACACTCCATTAGTTCTACGGTAATCAATTATAATAATCGATCAGAACTGTATTTCCCCAAGTCCTCAGCAAATTATGAGCCCGATATCATGGGTCTTGAGTCACGAGCATTCAAACGTTGAGTTTCGAGTGTTTTGAATGTCTCCTTACTTAACATCGACTTCCATTTTCCCTCCATCCGGATGCTTCGACTTCCACGATTTCTGCGGGATCCCTGTCCAGACCTTGGACTTTGACGTCCGCACTGGGACGCCTCCGAGCTTCTCCTCGCCCGCCCCGAGGCCGTGGCACGGTGGTGATGTTCGGAAACGGAAAGGCGGCGGCCTCTGCAGATCGAACAGGGCTACGAACGGAGCGGACGCCAACCGAACGGGGCGCTCCTGGCCTTAGATGGCCTTACTACTAGTAACAAGAAGCTACTAGGAACAAGTGCCTTACTACTAGTAACAAGTGCCTTACTACTAGTAACAAGAAGCTACTAGGAACAAGGTAATTCACACTTCAAGCGTCTCATTGTGAATCTTTTCATAGCTCTTGATCCTTACTGGCGATTGAGGGCCCGGCCATTGCACTTTGAAACAGACTTCTCGAACAGAGCAGGTCTTTTCATGTCTTTGCCCTGCAACAAGGAGATTTAGTCACTTGTGCGAGAACGAAGCTTCGGATTATCCCGTGTCCAGTCCTCTCGGGTCAATGGCCTCCACCCTACTATAGCGATGGCCTCCAACCTACTAGCAACGGCCTCCAACCGGTTTCAAGAGGAAAAACGCTTTCCAGACCGGTGCCGTCGCTGCTTTCAGAGCTACGGCTTCATTGCGCCGGACTCGGGTGGGCCTGACGTCTTCGTCCACAAGAGAAACGTGCGGCGAGATTCCGATGGAAGGCCGGGCACGGCTTCTGGTTCTTCCGGTACAAAAAGTTGCGAATTCCCAAGCAAGGTCTTGCCAAAGATAGGGAAATCGGAAACATGTCGGGAAATCATGCCAAACCCAATTCTTGAATTCAACGTTTTCTTTTCATGAGAAAACCCACACTGCTCATTCCGATTCATTCCTCTCTTCTGAAGGAATCTGATCTCTCCCGATCTCTGAGGCGTCGAGCTTTGAAGGAGGGCGAACGAGTGGAGTTTGAGCTGCAGGAGGAACCCGGAAAGCCTGGGCGATCGGTGGCGATGGATGTCCAAGCCGGGAGCCTCACGGAGCGAACCACGTCGAACGGTGAATGGTCCCGGTGAAGCAAACGTGCCCTTGGTCACCACCCGGTGCCGTCACGGCGTTTCGTCACCACGTGGGTAACTCAGTTGAATCCAAGGTGCTCCCTCCTTAGCTCCACAGCGTGTGGCCAAGTTTGCTCACAAGGCCATCAGCTCAAGGCAAGTACGCGGACACCGCGGTATTTCTGAGTCAATGGGCTGCTGTGCAGCTGTAGTAGTAAGGTCAATCCATCCAATATCATCCAATCACAAACCATTTGGCCACCCCTCAAACGTATATGAACGACTTGTTGAAGTCATTAAGGAGTTGTGCTGTCCATAGTTGATCAATTGCTTGTAAGACGGTCAGTCTGCAGAATTCTCCTCAAGAATAAGATCAATAATAAGATCTATATGCATTGGTTTTGTGCGCATCAGCTCCATTCTATTCTACTTACTGTATATAATTCTACTTGCTTGTATTTGACTCCGTTCACTACCTGATAAACACAGTACCATCACCAGTGAGCACCGTGTGTGAGCACAATTCTTGCGAGCTTCTTTTTGAATTGAACTGCTGAGAATGGCTCCAAATAAGTGAGCGTCTAGATTCAGCTTTCAAGCAACTGCCACACCGAAACAATTTGCGCAGCGGCCCACGTCCAACAACACAAAAGATGCGGGCCACGCCCACCCATGCCAGATCGAAAAAGGACTTCGAGGTATACGAGAAGGTCTCAAGGTCTAGAGAAAGTGGGCGAAACACGGAAGGCACATTTATATTCTTTTCACTAGTGTCTCCTTTGATCCAGCCTCTAGCCTTGAGCTCCCCGAATTCGGGCAGACTCTCGACTGGAATCAAACGCGCTCTTCATCCCTTTGCCCTACTTGCACCCATCTGCACTCTCTTCAGCCTGTTTCCATCCGATCAGCGATTTCTTTCAACCTGCGTTAGTTCTGAATGGCTTCCCCACTGCAAGGGGGAATGGTCTAGCACCTTTCACAGGTTGCGCAGGAGAACAATCTCGGCGAGGAGAGGTGAGGATACGTGGCCAAAGTTTGCTGCGAATGCTAGCCAGCGCGCGAGCCAGCGTGCATGAATCAGAGAGTCGTTCAAAAAGACGTGTCACAGGCGACCGTTTGAAACTGCACCAAGTCAAGTAGAGGTTACAATGAGCGTTCAGTGCTTTCAGTGTTGCAATGCCGCCAGACCTGGTTCAAAGATTGTTGTTTCTTTCATGGAGTACAGAAGCATTTGATCTAGGTTGGGCCAACCATATCATCAGAGATCCCCACAGTCTTAAGAGCAGTCACAATCCACCTGAAAGCACACGGAAACCATCTGTGGAGAAGCCACCCTGGTTTTCCCTTTCTGAATCGATCCATGCAGTAGACGCTTCCGTTTCACCGTTTCACCCTGACCGATGGAGCTTGAGGCTGAGTATCTTGAAGACCAAAACGGAAAAAAATTCTTTCTCTTCTTTCGGTAAACTGAAGTCAAAAAGACCAAAACGGGTCGTTTCCCCACCAAGGGCGCCGTGGCCTTGCCGAGAGGCGCGGGACGTCTTCGACGTGCGAAAGGACGACTCGGACGCGCGAAAGGACGCAGTGACGTAGCACGTGGACGCGATGAACGGCGGAACCGCTTGGTGGTGAAACGCACGAAAGTGATCGGCACGGTGAAACGTGTTTGTGCAGGAGCCGAAGGCTCCTCTATATCCTCCAGAGGCCATAGAAAGCACTCGAAGCATTGGAACAATCCACATGCCTTTCCTGCCGGAGGCTATTCAGCCACGGCATATGCAGGCCGGCCA